TGAAAGAGGGTAGATTTAGATTAGATATTAGGAATAAATTTTTTCACTGTGAGGGTGGTGAGGCACTGGCCCAGGTTGCCCAGAGAAGCTGTGGATGCCCCATCCCTGGAGGTGTTCAAGGCCAGGCTGGATGAGGCTTTGAGCAACCTGGGCTAGTGGGAGGTGTCCCTGCCCATGGCAGGGGGGTTGGAACTCGATGATCTTTAACGTCCCTTACTACTCAAACCATTCTGTGAAATGTGATGTATAGGCCACACTTATTCACGGGCCTGTGAATGAGCAAATGCAGGTACAGTTACTTCTTCGAACAATGACATTGTAGTAGTAGTCATCTAGAAGCTTGAGGTAGTTTGCATTGCCATTATACCTTGTTTAATGGAACTTGAACAGGCTAATCCTTCCCCACCTAAGTGTACACCTGTTTGACTGTAAATCTGATTTCAACTTGTTAGAACATTTACCAAAAAAAATCTGAAGGAAAGGTGCTTGAAATGAACACAACAGTTTGCAGCAAGAAATTATCCTTCTCTTTATCCTCCCTTAAGCTGTTTTCCAGTATATTTTTCTCTGCAAGTTCAAATAAGCACGTTATGCTGGAATGCAAAATGGGTAAGTGGAAGCAAGTGTGTTGTGAGCAACGTAAACCAAAGTGGTTCACTTAAGATGTAATATTTGGGGGGTTTGATTGTTACCAAATAAAAAGTATATAGGCTTTGAGCAGTATAATGCTTGAATTCATAGTCCTAGTGTAGATCTAAGTGCCTTGTTAATCCTAAGGCATTTTTATTGCTAAAACATTGTGACCTTGAAGTATTTGACCTGACTGCAGGCTTCACATAGTCTTAATATTGCCAGAGCATCTGGTCTCTAGTATGTGGTGTAACTGAAATAATGCCCCACAGGTTTAGCAGGAGTACTTTAAAGGCTTTCTTGGGTTGGTGGAGATCACTAAGGGTTGTTCCTTTGCTGTTTCTTGTTTGGCCAGTTTTGGGTTTTTTTGGAGTAGCTTTTTCAAAACCAGGTTTGTGTGACGAGTTTATATAAATTAGTGTTCTTTTACAAATTAGGTAGAATTAAGGTATATTAAATAGTATCCTACAATTTTTTCTGATTTAGTCTTTGGAGAAATCCCATTATGAACAATTAAAATGGGGAGGAGAACAGCAGCAGTGGTACTCTTTCTGCTTGAAGAGTGTATATATATATATGTGTGTGTGTGTATATATATATGTGTATGTATATGTGTGTGTATATATATGTGTGTGTGTATATATATATCTTGGTGATGTGCTCTTCAGCCTTCCTTCAGGCATTGCATGCTGCTAAGTGAACTTCCAAGCCGTAAGTAAGGGTCTGCACATACCATCAAGGAGGGCAGTTCTGGAGGTGTAGCTCACAGGTAACAGTATCTCCAAAATACACAGATCAAGATTCATCCTCCCTCGTATCATACTTCTTTCTGAATTCATAGTAAACAGAAAAAACTGGTAGAATTCCTTTAATTTGTCAGAGTTTCATTTTTGTATCTTGGTTTGTATGTAGGCTTTATGCTTTTAAAGGTGGGGCATTTTTTCTCTTAAACAGACAAAAAATGTTCTCGTTTCTCTGATTTAACCATATTATCAATAATAAAAGTAATAATTGAGCAAACAGAAGACTCCTAGAAAAACTATTCTATTATCTTGTGTTGTTGTGCTTAATTACCATTAAATTATCTCTTGTGTCTCTTCCATTTAATATTTATTCAGGCTTTTTCCTTAGGTTATGCAGCTTGTGCTGAACGTAAGGAAAAAGTGTTATCTAGTCTTTGCACGAGCATTAGTGCATGCATTGATTTAATGCCATCTCAAAGAAAATAGTCAAGAAAAATTAAAGGTGATAAGAGAAGTTCTCATTAGTATTCTGGGAGTAAAGATTGAATCTGCCTGTTTTTTTCTTTTTCTTTAGACTTGCTGAAATTTAAGGGAAAATGTGTGCAAACAGGTTTCTGAAAAAAAGCAAGATAAAATTAATTCTTTCTATCAATTTATTATCTTTCCTATCCATAATGGGAGACTGTTCAACCGAATTAGACCACAAGATTATGGCTGTAGGCTCCTGAAGCTTACAGTGTACCTTCCAAAGTTTAAACACAAAAATAAATAGGTGTATATAATGTATGTGCAGTGCTGTATGAGAATCAAGTGCAGCTGTTAATTTTGATGAGAGGATGTCATGACTGATTTTGTGAACGCTACCATTAGTTACTTGTGGACACTGAAGGAGGGTATTTTTTTCTGTTTTCATCTCCTTTCTTAGGCGGATGAAAGCATTTTATCCCACTCTTCAGGTTAAATAATGTAGTGAATTTGACAGACATGAAACTCGACGTTACCATACCAAGGAACTTCAAAAACACCCTCCACCCAGTAAATCAGCAAGGGGGAGTCTCTGGTGGCTGAAATGTGAGATGGAAGGAATATATGTAATTTACTCCACCTTTATACAGATGTCTGTGTTTGTCCATCTCTTCTGGGCTGGGATGCGCAAAGAAAACCCCTTTTTTTCTGTTTGTCACCCTAACAAAATTATGGTGAAAATACCTCACTTCCGTGTTGCAGATAAGCTGAGAATTTTCACAATACTTATTTTTTCTTCCAAATTTTTGAGACCGAGGAGGTTTTTAAAATTTTCTTAGTCAAGTTCTAGTGCCTGTAGTTGGCAGAGTCAAACTGGAAAAACATGACTGGAATTTGTGAAAGCTTGCAAGCCAGAGGGCAAGAGGAAAGAAATCCCAGACTTTAAATGTTTGGGTAATGTTGCTTATTTATTTATGGAATAGTAGTTACTTGAGGCTAGCAGCATTTTTAAATGCATTTGCATGAAACTAAAGATGTTCTTAAGCTGTTTAGTTTAACAAATGAAGCACTTCAGTACTGGGATCTACAAGGCAATGAGCTGTGAATAATACCAATTTTATCATGATATACTAGTAGCCTCAAATTTCAAATTAGCAGAGTTTATGCAAGGGGGAGTTTTATTTGTCAGGGTTGAAAAACTGCTTTGCTACAGACTGCTCTTTTTGCTGTCTGCATGCCTCAAGGCATAGGTGGATAACAGCTCTGAAATTTCTGCAAAATTGTTGAAATGGTTCAAAAAATTGAATGTGTAGTTTTAAAAAAAAGTGTGATTAAATGTAGGTGAACTAGCCAATGGGTATTTGGTTTGGGTAGATGCAAGGCAGGCTAGCTAATGGTTTTCATTGGGCCAGCACTGAGCCTTGTTGAAGCTCATATAGTTGAGCCCAATCAGTCCATACGCGTGATATGTACTGTAGATACATATTGCATGTGCGGTCGCATAACTGACAGTTCTCTCTAACTTATGTGTGATTGTTTGTAAATGATTTTATAAATTAGAAGACAATTATTTCTTCTCCTGTGTCTCTAATTAGGATTTGTAGGTGTTGAGAAGAGTTAGAAGCTTATTGTTTCGTCATGTTGAGTACCTGTATGAGTTCAAATGCAGGAACATTTCTCCTCCTGCTGCAGCTATTTTAATAATTCATATTCTCACTCTTGAATGGTTTATTATATTTCTTCTTCCCCATCTTTCAATAACAAATTCAATTTTTTTCATATACTTCATAACTAGGAAGGTCTCATGCAGTTGTTGCTTTGTAGTATAGGGCTGGATCCAGCTGTCATATTGGTGGTGAGGGAATGCTGTGGTGCATGCTTGCGTGTTACTGGGAGGATTCTGGCTGGAGAGGGCCTCCAGCTGCTGAATCTGCTGCTGTACTTTCTTATCTTTTAAATTACGAACTTCGTAGCAGTTGCAGTTTGAAATAGTTTTTCTTACAACTTGTCATCACTCGAAAAACATTTTGTGAAGTTTATTTCTTTCATAATATATAATCTCTGACTCATGGTTTTTTGTGATATTTCAGGACTTTCTGCAACTTTAGGATCTTAATAAAGATTTTGTGATTTCATGAGATAGAGGATAATATGAGCCGTTAAAGAAAAGTTGTACTTCTGTGGAGATATGTTACTGGTAAAAAATGCCTGTTGCACAGAGGACAGGATTTGCAGAGTTAAGCTCTCCAGCGCTAGTTCTGTTCTCTTGTATTGTCTTTTTTTTTGGTAATAACTGTATAAATTACTTACTCTGATGTGGTGAAAGTATTAGCTAAATGGAGACTTGCTGCCTACATCAATGTTAGTAAATAAAACAGGTCCAGGACATGTGATGACGCTTTGACCCATCGTAGTCTATCATGTTGAATACTTTGCATGCTCTGTGGTACAGCTTTTGGACTGCGTGTCACTTTACCACTCTTCTAGACTGTGCCCAAGAACAGCTGAGGGATGTTGCGTGCCAGCAGTGGTTCAGATACACCCTTCTGGCCCTACCATCCTCTTTGGGAGGGATGACCATTTGGCCATAGCCTTTGGCCTCGGGGTCAGAGCACACTCCTTGGCTTGTTTTATTTCTTCTGTAGATGGTAACCATCTAGTCACACTCTTGTGTCTTCTTCATGCTAGTTCAAACAGTATTTTAAGTCAGTATGTAGTATGATTTTCTCATACTACTCTTTACTTACGGCTATTTTTATTTTCACAGTAATGCACGGACATTTGTCTGGTTTATATGCATGATTACGTGCACCTACAAAATTAAAAAGCTATTGACCAAGATGGTTCAAGAATACAGCATACGTTTACATATGTTGAATGCAGGTGCGACCATCTGCTCAGCCTCCTGTGAAGATTTTGAGCATATTTAATAAAACTTCGGTAATACTGATGTAGATAAGGAATTGGTTTTATCAAGTTCATTGCAGTCAGAATGGGTTCCTTACAAAAGTGCAGCTCATTTGTGGATATTATGAACAGAACTTCTTTCTTCGCTTCATACACCGTAAGAAGTCATTCAGAAAAATTAAGACATGCTTACTCTAAAGTTGTTTGGGCAGTATTTCAGTCTGTATTGGCACTGAACTGATCTCTCTGTGATGCATACCTACTTCTTTTGCTGTAGGTGAAAAATGACTATATGTTAGAAATAGCAGATCAAGTGGACCAGGAAATTGCTTTGAAACTAGGTTGCCTTGAAATCCGGTAAGCTGATAATTTCATTTATTATTCAACATTTTTTCTGACAGAATATATGCATTAATTTTGAAACTGCTTATAGTTCATCTATTTGAGGGCAGTATAGTTGAATAAAACATCAGAACTGTTTTGCTACAAAGTAGTTTGAAGAAAAACTGAATAGACTGTATGGTAACCAATTTCTAGTGAGTTTTAAATTAACTTTAAATTCTAATTTAAGTTCTAATTAATTACATCTTGATACTGCCTTTTGGGTGAATTCTTCCCCTGAATAGTTCAAAGGCCTGTAGAGTACAGTGAAGTATATTTTAAAAATGCATCTGTGGTGTTATTTAGCAAATCGTCATGTCATTGTGCATATAGAAATCCTACATCTAAAGAATATAATTAAAGAAAAATGCTGCTACCTTTCTATATTTGCTCAGTTTTTACTGTGCTCTTTTCAAATTATTAAATGTTAAGGATTCTTTTGGGTGTTTTTGATGTTCTTGTCAACTTTATAGACGGCTGGAAAATAAAGATAAATTTGTCAGATAAGAGGTCCTTGAGAGAGTTCCCAGTGCAGCTTTTGAAATGTGTGTTTTGGTTTTTGCTAATTTATGGACCATTTCCAGCCTGAAACATTTGCTTTAGTTATGCTGTTGTCTCTCACTGGGAAATTAGGGAAAAAATAAAATTGATAAGAAATTAATGGGAAATGTAAACTTGTTAGCAGAGAATAGAAATGTCCTTTGAAAAGTACTTTCCAAAATTACAACTAAATTTGGGCTTAGAAGTTGTTACAAAGGAGGGAGATACTGTTGGAGGTAGAACGCAGCTGCTGAAGGGCAGGTTAGATCACTTCTTTAGGTAGCAGTGTAGTTAAGCTGTTTTTAAGTGGTTCTGAAAATGCAGTACAGCTGTAGTCCTGTGTAATGTCCCATACATGAAATAATTTTGTGAAATAAAGTATGATCTATGGAGGTAGGAGAATAATGCACTACTATTTATATTTTAATTCATTCTGCCAGTGTTTTCTAATGGTAAGTCTCTGAAAGATTTGACTACATTGATGTTGTGATTTTAGGCTGGATCATCCAATAATTGTCACTTTCAAATATTTTTCCTGACTTCAGGAGATCCTACGGAGAGATGAGAGGCAATGCATTAGAAAAGAAGTCCAACTATGAAGTGTTAGAGTAAGTATTGTGCTCTAGCTTGAGGTTTGAACTGCTTCATAATCAGGAACATCAAATTCCGTCCAATAACAGAATGTTTCTGTTGTAATTTTTTATTCCATGAAGTTTATTGAGATCTTCGAGTGCTTTAGTGTAAGAAAAGGATGATGAAACCTATCAAAGTATATAAGTAGGAAGTAGGAAGAACACCTTTAACTCTGGTCCAGGGAAACAAGGTTGGAGTTGTTTAAACTTGATCATGAGCCTTATTGTATTTTTTTTTTTTTTGCAATTTTGCTAATGTTTGTGGGTTCATCAAGTCTAGTTCTCAGGTGATTTTATTTCTAAATTGCTTTCTGTGCGTAGTAGCATTCTTCAGTTGTGACTCATCTGTGGTAAAGTTTGGGTTACTTTAAAATGTTCGTGGTCTATTTTTAATTCTGTTTGCTCAGTATGTGGATTTCCTAAATTGTTACCTTGCAATTAGCAAGCTTATTATGTATCACGAATTTTAAAATGACCAAAAAACATCCTTAGACTGAAACTGTTTTGGGTACTTGATCATGTTGTACAACAGATGGCTTCAGTCCAAACAATCCAAATTCCTTCAGAAGCTTCAGGGATTCAAAACTGGTTTTATCTATATTAATTTAGTGGAACAGTGTTTTATACGTACATCCGCCAATGATCTGCTCTTTACCACTGATTATTAAAAGATGTTGTACAGTTTAGCGTAAAATTGGGATAAAAGGTTGGTGTAGTAGTGGAGTCTCTATTTTTTATTTTATTTTTAGTAAATCACGTGGTAACTTTTAGAGGTGTGAAATTAGAGAATTTGGAGGTGGAAGATAAGGTTTTTCAGCACAATGAATAAGTTCACAAGGTTTTTTGAGGAAACTATATGATTTTAATAGGTAAAGATAGCTTTAATGAGTTGCCTTCATTTATATATAGTGCCTGCTATTTATATAGTGCTCCTCTTATCTGTGCAGAATTTTTAAAGCTTTGTTTTTGTTTATATTAGAGGCTTTTTAAAGGACTTCAGTTTTCTGTTGGTAGCCTCTAGTAGAAATATCCTGGTTGAGGAACTGCAGAGAAGGGACAAATAAAGACGAACAGGATGAGCAGATAGACAAGGCTAAAAGGTGATATAGAAAAGATCTGAAAGCACTACGACCTGGAGAAATTCTGATCCCATGTCATCCTCTTCCAGAAAAGGGAGCTTGTGCATTACAGGTTTTGCAGTCTACATGTCTCAGCAAGAACTTGAGAAAGATATTTTTAAGTCAGTTATTTAGCAACTCATAAGCTACAAACATTAGTAATTAGGTTAACAAATTTGGAAGAAATGAGACAAAGGAAACAAGGGTCATAACATGACACGAAGTACTAATTAATAACTATAACAGGTGAGAGTTCCTGGAGGACTCAGTATGGGACTGCTCCCAGTTTAACAATGAGGTGTTTATTTCAGTGCGTTTTCCAAGCAGTACCTGTTTTGGTAGGAAATAAATTGATTACTGCTGTGAAAAAGTGAAGCAAAACCCTGGTATGCAAAATCTAACATCTTAATGCCGTGCCAAATTGGAAGTGTAGAGTTGTGTGCTTTAAGATTTTTTTTTTTTTGGTTTGAAAAGCAAAATATGGTGTGTATGGGACTCAGCTGGGAGAGGTGAAGGATAAAAGCACCTTAAAGTGGCTATAGATAATTATAAGCTGTCAAGACTGTGTAAAAAGTGCTAGTGATCCCCAAAATGTATTCATTCGATCTTACACCTTAATAGCCTATAAAAGTTTATCTACATAAGTAATCTCAAGTGTGGCTTTTTGTTTGTTTGGGGAGGGGGGTTTGCTAGTTTTAGTGCATCATGAGGTACTTAACCAGCTGAGTACAATTTTTAAATGGCACTTTTTTGCATTTGGTGTGATTGCTTCTTGCCTGTCTTTGTCAGATGTCTATTTGATGTACATTCGTCTTTGATCAGATTTTCATACAAGACGAAATCTGGATGGGAAATGGTAGATAAAATCAAACTGTTAAGTAGCCTTTAATGGTTGGGCCTTCATGTGATGAAAGAAGAATTTTTTCATAATAAATGTGAAGCCTGTTAGCATAGAACAGGGATAATTACAAGTACAAAAATGGGAGCTATATGAAGGAACAGCTGCAGCCACAATTTTGTAAAAAGCGTGTTAAAGTCTATTATGTTAATCTAACATTACTTTTTTTGTTGTAACTTGAATTGAGATGAAAAAATAGAAATAAAGATGTATGTTCCCTAAAGCTGCTTATCATTATTTGACAAGCGGGGTACCATCTATCTGTATTGAAGTTTATACATTAAAAAAATAAATTTATATTTAAGCACACAAGTAGGATGAAGTAGATGATGTTAAATACAAAGCTGGAGTAGAACTGTATGAACCAGGATCTCGCTGCTAATTATCTCTTACTGGCAATCAGAGAACAGATGTCTGAGTTCGTAATCTGGAGGACTGAGCTGGTGTGTATCCCAAGCTGGCTGTTTTACCCTCACGCAGTGCAGCTGAGGAGGGAAGGAGTCTGTAGGGTTCTGTGTTTAAAACTGTTTGTATGTTCCAATTTCCAATGCTTATTCTCTTGTTTTTAGGAACCCATAGTTTGATCTTGACCATGGTGTTAATTGTGTATGCTTCTTATGTTAAATTCTCCCTCAGTAAATAAATTTGCTATCTCAGTTAAGCACAAGATATGCTTTATTAACACATTTTATTAAGATTTGTCTTTTGCTGTACTGTACATAAGAATTCTGTCTGAATTTGTTACATACAGATCTGTACAAAGGGCTACTCTACAACTCATTTTAGTAAGAAATTGAGCAGATTGCTGCAGCCATGCGCTGTAGTGCTGTTAAGATGAGGAATACTGGAGTGCTGCAGGGTGCTTCGTTTTTGAAAACACCATTTCTTTCTCAAATTCTTAATGTTAAACTAATATATTCCTTGTCAGAATGTCTTTACATGTTATTTAGATGGTAATAGTGTGTTAGATTTATTTAACCGTGTGAGATGATAAACCGCATATAATTTGCATTTGAGAAGAAATGCATCAAAGGAATTAACATTTATGAAAGTTTTATAATCTTCCAGCTTACTGTCATTGCACAGATGCCAGTGTTCGCTGCTGCATGTGAGCGTTCTGCTCCTCTTAGTTGGGGATGTTTTTAGTATGTTTTCTGAAATCATATACTACTTGTCTTTCAAGAGCTTTAAAAATACTCTGTTTTATTATTTTGAGTAAGCTTTTTATTTTTACTTTAACATTGGCTTTCTTCTTGCACCATTAGGTAGCGGTAAACAGATACTGTGTATCTCAGACTTGCTAACAGCTTTTCTTTTTTTGCCAACTGTAAGAATTCCAGAGGTATTTCTGTTTATGTTCAAAGCATGCTTGGAAAGCTCGCTTTCATACTCATTTCAGAAGCAGATGAGGGTGTTTGTTTAGAAGAGATTTTAACCTCTTCAATTTAAAGGAAAAAAGCCAGTAATGCCTTTGAGAGCCAAGGTTATAAGTCCTTTTCCTATTTACATTTTTCTTTCAGTTTTTCCTTTGTCTCCTGCAAATTTTCTGCTAATACTATACAACTAGTTCATGGTTATACAACATTTGTTATACCTGGTTGTATAATGATCATCTTCTGCACTAACGTATCTCTGGGAACTTCTCAGGCATCTTTCTTGATGCTAATGTTTAGTTGTAGTAATGCATGCACACGTTGGACATAAGCTAGGTGCAGCACATCTGAGCTGCAAAAATATGTAATCCTGACTTCTCTGGATTTCAAACCAAGGCTGCAACCCTATTTATAAATGTGAAAGTGAGCTTGAAGTAATTCAGTTTGCAAAATCTGAGCTTTCAGACAGAATTAGGATCCTGATTTACAGATGCAAAAAGTGAGATTACTTGCAATAAAAAGCTGGGAATTTTAACGTTAGATGCTCAATATGAGGAAAAAAATGACAGTAAAAATTAAAAAAAACCCTTCAGTTATAGTGTTGCAAAGGGTAAAACAGTAGTGGAACAGCAGTCAGTATGTTTCCTGAGATTATATCATGGGAGGTCCTTTCCTTTATGTTGTATCACCTGCTCAGTTTTAAGCTGTGTTTATTAGAATTTGCCGTTTTCATGTTGTTCCCCTCTCACCTTACCACATGCTGTAAGAGTATTTTTTTTCAATATTCTTGAAACGAATAAAACATGTAAAAATAACAGCTTTTATTTTCAAAACTTCTCTGTGCCCAAGCCAACATTTCAAATAATCCACTTTCCACACCAGGTACCAGCTGTAACTGTGATATCCTTTTGAGTTTAAACTAGAAGATCCTGCTATCACGCATTTGCTGTGGAGTGGCTGTGGTTAGCATTTTAGTGGTACTGTGGCTATTACTCTTGAGATTGTCAAAGACCTTACTATGAAAATCATTTACTAGATTGCATGTGCTGGTTAAAAACCAAACCAAAACCAAACCCAAAACACCACCTTGAAAAAGCAATATAATATTGCGCAATGTTTCTTGTACTAATGCTGTGTGTGTTTTTGTTTCAGGAAAGATGTTGGTTTAAGACGTTTTTTTCCGAAGAGTTTACTAGATTCAGTGAAGGTAATTATAGTTCCAGTCAATTGTATACTACTGAGAAAAAAATAAGGGTCAGTAATCTGAAAACTGCTTTATCATTTTCACCGTATAGTTTTAAAGGAATTGCTGTGCAGTTGTGCTGGCAGAACTAAGATAGTAGTGATTTACGTGGCCTTGCTGAGAGAACTACACCTCTGCCTCTCAAACCTTGTGGATAAAAGCTCAAGTCCTCAGATCCTTTTGTATCAAATAACCTCCCCCCTTCCTCCCTACCAAAAAAAAAAAAAAACCAAAAACAAACTTCTGGAGAAGGAGAAAGGAGGCAGGTAAGAAAAAAGCGTATTTTCAGTGGCAACTCAATAAACCGTATTCTGCCCTCCTTGCTCAAGACTGTATCCCACTCGTTCAAGGAAGATTTCCAGTAATTTCCATTTATGTTAATCCTAGTTAAAACTCTAAATGTTAGTTGAATCTCACTTACATTGAAGTCCATATGCTCCCAGAGTAAAAAATGCAAATTTTTCTCAACGTGTTTTGAAAAGGGGGCTTAAGAATAGTCACCAAGTATTTTTACTTATATAGCTGTCTTGGTATGAATGTCTTGGTAAAATATCTCTTATCATTCATACGTGAAAATATAAATCATAAGTTGTTATTTTAGAGCTGGTTTTGGCAAGCAGTGATGGTTTTATACAAATAATAGAATTCAACCTCACATTTAGCAAGTTTCTACATTGTGATTTAAATGGATAAACAGACAAGGTCTGTCATGAAGGGGCTTTGTTTCAAAAGACTTCTGAAAATCAGCAGCTAATGAAGTCAAGTGGATTTCTGTAATCCCTCTGCATTTTAATTTAAGCAATTATCTGAAAATGTATTCTCTGCTAAAGGCAGAAATTGTGGTGAAAGGCTCCAGATGTAAAAGAATGAATAACTATTTCAAAAATGGTATTAGGGAGCCAGAAAGCTGACCAACAAAGAAAACTGCTGGTTAGAAATGGTGAAATGGAGAGGATAGCAGAAAGAAGTATCAGGAATTGCTGGAAGGTGAAGCTAAGTAGAACCTTGCAAAGACATGAAAAAAATGTGGGACAATATGAAGAGAAAAAACAAAGAAAAATGTATCTGCTTTTTAATGAAAATGAAATCCCTATTAAAAATAATCTAGGATTGGTTCAAATTATTAAATGACTTTTTCACTTTGTGAAGATCAATGATTTTGAACTGGGACAACTTGAGCTACCAGATTTTTTTTTTTTTGCTTTTATAGTGTCTTGCTCTTGGTATTTGCCAGGTGTTCGGATAAGGCTAAAGTCTTCAGTTCCCTTAATGCCAGTTTTCCCTGTAAAAAGGAAGATGACAGAAAAGTCCAGAGAAAACCCTTTTCTGAACACTCCTTTTAAAAAAATCTGGCTATAGTTCTGAATGTTCTTTAAAGACTTACTAAAAATGAATGCCTAACCTAACTGGAAGTGCTGACAACGAAAGGAAGTTTATATTACAGGCACTGTGAAAGAATGAAGAGTTTTAATGCTTTTACAATAGGACATTCAGATCTGTTTTGGTAGAGGAACAATGGTAATTCCTGTCTTAACCTTGACATATTGCAAAAATAAGCATGGATTTGCCTTCTATCATTGTTAGCTGGTAGAAAGGGATGTATTAGAAATGAGCATTACTAAGGTTTTTTAAACCCATTTAGTCACTCTAGACACAGCTCAAGCTTTGGCAGAGGGAAAAAGAATAGATGTGTTCGTGGTTTTGACATTTTAGCACTATGTGATGTAAACAGGGGGTCACCCGCCCCTCCACTACTTCCAGAGCATGCCTGTACTCTCAGATCTTTTCCAACCTAAATGATTTTGTGATTCTTGGGATTAGGACAGATGAGAAGAAGGCACTGCACTTTTGTCCAGATGAAGTCTAGTGTTTAGAAACAGATGGTTTTCGTTCAGAATTCTTGATTGATTGTTCAGTTTTGGAGCATGTTAAAGAGATTGCTTCTCAGATTCTGTTTTTATTTTCATATGAGTGGCAGTCTTCCCAGGAATTACACCTTATATACAGGCAGTTTGGATATCCTTTAAAAAAGAAAAAATGCAGTTATTTGAAAATCTGCTTGTATCCTCTACGTATTTTTCAGGATTTGTAATTAGGTGTCCTGCTCTGTCCCACTGTCCCAGATGCTGGGAGGATGATTTGTGCTGCACTTTCTAAGTGGTTGTTTCTACCCTGAATACAGTTAATAGAATTATATGCAATATAGTTAAAATAGTTTTACATAAGTGGTTGGTTTATTTTGTATTATTTTTTAATTTACTATTTAAATTTTATCTTTTTATATGGAAGTCATTTTGAGTATTATCAGACTTTCAGAATTCACTGTATTACAGATAGTCTAAGATACTGTGTGCAGAGATTGACACAACTACAGCTGGGTTGTTACTACCAGATAAGAGAATGATGATTTGTGTTTAAAACGTAGTATGAAGATGTAGGTTGCTGTGTTTTTGTATTGGCACACAGTTAAGAAGTTGGGAGAAATAAGGAATCTAGAAAAAAATAGTTACTGCAAAGGTTAACGTTGTCTTCTATTGTAATTTCTTCAAAACATTATTAGTTAGGATATTGCCTCTATAATATTTAGCAGAAATAATTTTGTTCCTAAGCAGAAGTTAGATGGCAGAACTGTTACGTTTTGAAGTTTCTTTTTTCTCTTGAGAATTGTCTGCATCTTACTGATAAAGAAACTGTTAGTGCTGCTAAGTGACTGAAACTCTTAAAATGCAGTCACTGATGAGATTTAAAATAATCTATTTTTAAACATTTTAATACACAGGCCAAAACACTACGAAAATTAATCCAACAAACATTTCGACAATTTGCCAACCTCAATAGAGAAGAAAGTATTTTGAAATTCTTTGAGATCCTCTCTCCAGTGTACAGATTTGACAAGGAATGCTTCAAGTGTGCTCTCGGTGTAAGTAGAGAAATGTGGCAGTATCCAGAATGTATACTGTAGTTATGAGTCTATTTGGTTTTACTTCGTTCTGCAACTAATTGCTTGCTTGGTTCTTGTTTTGATGTAGAGGTGGGTCCTTTGATTTCATTAACAACAAAATGTATTTATTGGTTTTTTTAGAGCTTTCTCAGTTGCCTGTTTAAAAAGCACCATTCATTAGTAGGGTAAGAACTGTATGTTATTAAATATTTTTATTGGTGCTTCGTTGGTGAAAGTCAAGCAATTTTTAAGTTGATTTTGTGAGGAAATTAGACTTCTCAGCTTCTCCTGTTTGTAAATTTTCCTCTAATGCCTTTTAATCTCTACCAATTAAAAAAAATTTTTTGAGAAGGAGCCTTAAGTCTGCAAGCTTTGTGAAAATAGACACTCAAGTAGAAATTAGAACGTGAACATCGATGTCTGTGAGAAGAGGAAATGCAGGAAATATGTAGTTCTCATGTAGACCTAAGATAAAACACATGGAAACACATTTTGAGTGGCATGGATCTCCAGGAAACCAGTCATGAGGAGCTTTGCTACTTATAGAATTACTTGATTTGGATATATTTTAAATAGTTTGAAGAGTTTAAAAGCTCCTAGAGATTCATTACTAAAAACTGTCATTATAGCCCTGGAAGATAAGTGTTCCCTACCAGTGTCTTGTCTTACTGTTGAAATTTTGTCCTGTCTCTCCTTTGATTCTGAAGTCAAGCTGGATTATTTCAGTGGAACTGGCAATCGGCCCAGAAGAAGGAATCAGTTACCTTACAGACAAGGGTGCAAATGTAAGTCTACTTCTGTTTTCTTTTCTCAGTAATTTTCTCTTAACAACCATGGCCTGTTGTGAACTGAACTTCACAGAAAGGGGCATGACAAGTCTAATCTTTGAGTTAAACACCGAAGTGCTGGGGAATTCAATGTATACAGCTGTTATTTAGATAGAAAGTCATCAAATTATTCTAAATTAGTCTCCTCTTTCTTAGAATGTGTAAATGAAGAGCTTGTTTAATGGGTTACTGTTCTGCATTTGTGCAGTCATTGCTGGCTTATTTGCTTTACTTCATGCCCTTAATAGCCTTTTCATTGCCCGATATTGACCGTATTACAATATTTCCTTTACACTTTCATGGTGCAAGGAAATTACATTCAGGCAGGTTCTTCCAGCAAAATGTTTGGGACTTTTACAGTCGTGACTTAGGTTGAGCTCACGTCCAACTTCTATTGAAGTTAATTCAAAGGTATTGAAAAGCTTTGGAGATCAGGAATACACAGCCAGCTAAGAACGTACCTTGTACAGGAGTCTGGCGGTATGTTTAGTATGCTCTGAGTGCAGATATCGTGTGATTAACCTGTTGAGTTTTTCATCTTAACCTCCAAGAGGTAGTTTCCACGAAGTACTTCAGCATGTCCCTGCAGTTACTCAGCAGTGACCTCTGTAGACAAACTTGGTGCTTGGTTTCATTTTGCAAATACCGTGGATATTTCTGTAGGTTGTTAGCCAAAGCCTAATGAAAGTGTGAAGAAACAGAGGAACAGATTTCTACAAGTGTAATCTGGAGATCCAAGTCTATGTGTGCTTTGCAGCATCAGGAATTAAGGCAGAGCATCCTGCTGTAATTTTGAAAATTTCCCCACATTTTCCTTTGCCTTTCTGCAGCCAACTCATCTAGCAGACTTTAATCAAGTGCAAACTATTCAGTATTCAAACAGTGAAGATAAGGACAGAAAAGGGATGTTGCAACTCAAGATAGCAGGTGCACCTGAGGTATGATATTGACAGTTGTGATAAACTTACTTGCTTTGGTTTTCCTGGGAAGGGGTGGAGATCAGTAAACTCTTAATGAAGACATTCTGTATATTGTATTTCTGTTCTGATCTGTAACTTCATTCTAGATTTTTGTACTGTCAGTGTATTTATGATATACTAAAAGTATACTTCACTTTTGTGTGTGCATCTTTAAGCTGGGGACTGCCTGCTGTGCATGTGTGCAAAGACTTCAGTTATTGTTCAACTTTCTTGCTCCTCCTGTAGTTAGAGCCAGTGCATTATTTTTTTATCATTTGGCATTCTGGGCATTCTGCAGTTTGATTTTTCTTGTTGTTTAAGGGGAAAGGGAAGTTGATTGTGAACAGTCGTCATTCTGCTAGTCAGATTTTTTTTTTTTCAAAATAGATTTGGTGCTCATTACGTGTTTCAGGGTTTGTGTCTGGTGCTTGTATACTTCAGTATTTGTAAAAGAAGCTTAATTTAAAAATACTAGCCCTTAAATGCAACTTAGTAGTAGCCTGCAGATGTATATGTTGCTACATCCTAAAGAGGAAACTGAGCAATTTAACTTTTGTGGAAAGGGGAAATACTACATGGAGACAGAGCTGGGAGTGAAATAAAATCTTTTCCTTAGTCCAATGCACTGGAAAACAGTCACTGTTACACAGAATGATTGAGGGCAAGTTGGCAAATCTGTGCAGAGGATGATGAATGTTACTGGTATTAAAATTAGCAGTTTGTATATCTCTCCTTTTCTGCTGTCTTCGCTATTTATTGATTTTTATCTTTTTTGAAATTGGGATGGTGACTTTTTTTTTTGCTGCAGAAGGGTAGAAAAAGATACCACCTTTAAGAGTTTTAAGGAGTAAGCAGCTTCTTTAGAATTGTCATAATTGGAGTTGTAAAAGTCATAGCAGTTGTAATGAGCAGTGGTTGACTGAAAGTTTAGCTACCAAGCCACTTAAACCCAGATTAATATTACATTTGGGTGGAGGGTTTTATCAGCTGTGCTTTCTGAACCTTGTGTTTTAAATTTGCTACATAAAAGGTAAAGCAAGAATCTGATAGTTCTGTGCTCACCCACATTTTTCTGTTTACTGCTTGCAAGTGTGTGTAAAGTTCTGATGCAGTAACACAGCTGTTCTACTCACTGTTTGCAACTACAATAATACCTCTTTGTTGGTGCCTTGTTTTTTTCCTTCTTTAGCCTCTGACAGTGACAGCGCCATCCTTAACCATTGCAGAGAATATGGCTGACTTGATAGACGGATATTGCCGACTGGTGAATGGAGCTACGCAATCTTTTATTATCAGGCCACAGAAAGGTAAGGAGATGTTTCATTCTGATAGTTGCTATAATCCTATCAACTGGTAGATTATTTTGTACTTGAATAGAAGACACAAGGTAGCTGCAAAACTCTTACTTGGAGGCTCTTGTCTTTCAGGGAGGGACCATGAGGTATTTTTGTTATGAGAAATACTGACAGTAAATATCACTCCATCAAAAATGGCTTAATGGCTGATAATTTAGACTGGTTTTCAGTAATCACTGCTTTACACTACTCTAAACTGTTTAAACAAGGAGAAGTAAATAAATTGGAATTAAAGGCACTCTGAACAAGGATGTGTTATCTTGAAATGTGATTCCCTAATATACGAGTGGAAATTCAGAGAGCTTGATTAGAATGCATTTGGATAAGGTTCTGACTAGTAACAATTTTTTTAAATTTCTGCCTTCCTCCTAGATACTCAAAACATCTATGTTTAAAAATAAAAACTTTGAGAGAAATCTCATGAGCCTTTCTCATAAAAAACAGCTAAAGCAGAGACGCCTTTGGTAGTGTTAATCAGTTGTTTTTGTAGCAACGCGCAAGCTAGAATCCATGAGACCAGGGTACAGGTATATCTAACTTTAAAGAGAGAATGTTAATTAAATGTTATTAGAATTTCCTATTTTCATCCAGCTTTAATTATGGAAAACACCCAAGCAAAGCTGCTTAAGAATGGAAATTTCTGTCCTCCTGTACTTAACTTTACTTCTGGAAATTAATCCAATGGTTTTGGTTTCTAAAACAATGGATAAACTGTTTCCCTCTTCCCTATTTGTAATACCAGAAAGTACACAAACCATCCCAGAAGCTCTCCAGTCTGAAGCTGAGTCCCTTTTTAGCTGTGTTTTTGTCTTTGTGTGCCACTGGTTTTCCCTGTCCTGTATTTGTTCTAACAGGGTAACATTATTACTAGAGTTCAGGTCCTTCCCAGGTCTGTATGTAGCATCCTGCCTGTTCGTGGCTCTAAAGTCTGCCTGTGTTGACAAAGAACAGAAGTTGGTCATTCAGTAATGAAGAAATGTGATTGTAGAGTGTTAGATGTTTCAACAGCACTTAGTAATTTTTCAAATTATTCTTAAATTTGCATGTTTGTTCATTTTATTTCTCACCCTTAGCATATGTGACTGAGTCTTTGCTCCAACACAAGTAGCTTTGTTAGAATTTGCATTAGTCGTGCAACTTTATTTCCATACAAAGGAAAATCTTCCCTCTCCACAGAAACTCAGGTCTTCTAGCCAACCTGGTGCACAACTCAGTGATTATGAACCATTGGCACCAAAATTTGACACTAAAAGGATAAGCTAGCATCAGTTATAGTGCTTGTTTATTGTTCTAAAAGTAAAATAGGCACCACAAACCAAGATTTTAATTTCATTGGTCTAATCTATACCTGTGAGCGATTGTCTTTTGTGCCTCTTCTTTAATGAAAAATCGTAGTTTGAGGTTTGTTACAATCCTTATTCACTCACAAAACTTTCCTTCTGATACCCAGCGGATTGGCTGTTTTTCAGCCAGAACTACAGGAGCCAAAGTTGAGCTTTTACAACTTTCTCATATCTTAACACATTACCTCTCCCCAACTCTCAGTCATACTAAGTTGATGGATAGCTTTGACACTACCCTCTGGTTTTTCTATAGAGGCACACGTGACAATGTCCAATTCTTGCCACTTCTGCACTGGTGGTATTTCAGAAATAGGCTCCATTCAGTCCCCATTGCCAGTGCTATTATTGGCTTGTTCCACTGCTATTAGAATTACTTAACTATACATGCATGCGTTTAACTCCACAAAATACGACTGCCCAGTGATTTCCAATTCTGTCATACACAACAGCAATGGCAGGCAGTCAAGGCTTTCACCAAGTCTTACTCACTCTGCTCATCCAGAGTGCAAGCTTCCAGCACTATGCATTGTGGCATTGACTGTGTTCCAGCCACGTTGCATTTCTCAGCCAAACCCTGCTCTGCTGTCCTCCATGCTGTTCTTGCCCAAGCAAGGGAGCAGCTCCCAGTCAGAATCTCTGCAGGATTTACCATGTCCTCTTCAATACTTCGTTTTTTCATGATGCATATGAACAACTGCCATCTAAGGTCAGCATAGCACGTGGGTCCTGACTTACTGCTGCTGTAAGTGGCAATAAAAATTGACCCAATCTGCACTTTTTCTTTCTAATTCTTGTCTTCTTCTAACCTTATTTCCTTGTCATTCAACTGTTACATCTTCCGGGCTCAGTAAGCTCTGTTAAGGGCAAGATCTCTGATTTTTCTGTGTTGTACAGTACTGGGCACAGCTGTGCCTGGCACTGTGGTTTGCTGGTAGGCATGAATGCAAAATCAATCAATGAGTTTAATGGAGTGTGTTTATTTGTGTGATATTCTTACTGGTGAATTTAAACACAGAGCAAATGAGCAGTGATTGAGTTAAAGGAATATGATAGAGCACTTTGGGAACACTTCTCTTCATGCAAACATTAAGAGAATACCTCCAGTTAAAATCAATTGTGGGGTTCTTTTGTCTGAGGTTTCTTTTTTTTTTTTTAAGTTCATAGCAATACTCAATGTATTAATTAAACATTTCATAGAAGAGCTGTCCCCACCATGATCTGCATTCCCAGATCTCCCCCACAATGAGTTTTGATTATACAAGGCACATTAGAAACAAATCATGTAGCAACCCTTGATCCAACAGATGTGTTTTCTCCCCTCTTTGAGCTTTCTCATCCCCTCTTTGTTGTAAATCTACATGTTTATTGCAAGTCCTCTCATAAATTATCCTTCTTGATTACTAAAAGAACCTGTGTTTTGTGATATTGTCTGTCTCGCTATCTGTTAATAATCCAGTTTCTCTTAATTTGGTGAGAACACTTGATTATGTTTAAGACCTGGACAGTTTTTGGCATATTTCCATTCAGTTTGTATTATTTCTCATAAATATTTTGGTATATAGGTCACTTTAGATCAATGTGGAAACTTTAAACTTAATATTTGTGTTTCCATTATCACACTTAACTCTTGCAGGCAAAGAGCACAAATGAAACAATTGATAAAAACTTAAACTGGTATTAAGTGGCTATTTACCGATTGGACTATGTACTAAGTAGCTTTCCTGTGATCTAAGTCTAGTGACTGAATTTTTTTATCTGTTAATCACTTTATGCAGGCTTTATAGGTAATACAAAATTGTCAAAACTCTTATAAAAGGCTAAAAAGACTCTGGAAGAAAACACATGAGCAACTGACATGGTTATCTGATTGTCGTTATACCAGAACTCAGCTTTACACTGAAATATATTCTTTGAATCTAAAAGGATTACAACTAAAAGACAGCTCATAACTTTGAGTTTCAAAATACCAAAATTAAATAATGCATTAAGTTCTCCGAATAAGTGTTTTCTGTTTTCACACAAATAAACCGTGAGCACCATTTTCATTTTAATGGAATGGCATCATGTATTCTAATTCTTACGATATTGTTATGGCTTTGACTAATTTGACCCCTCAGTGATTTTTCTTTCACAATCTTTTCAATCAGGTGAGGACGGTTTACATTGTGGTAAATCAAAATACTTGAGAGTTTTTTTCATGTCTCCTGGAGCCAGGGGTTGTAGGAGCGGTGGAAGGGACTGGGTGTATGTGCAAACACCAACATTTGGGTAGCGGTGGGGCTGCAGAGCTGGCTGCCCTGGGAACAGCCCAGGGGCTGCCCTGTGCCAGTCACAGCTTCCTCCACACCATTCCACCCCTTGCCTCTGTGACACACACACGCTTGGTAATTATTATTAAAATATACATTCATCACACATTCTTTATGACCTTCACTTACATCAACAAAAATTCCCAACATCAAAAATCTAACGTTATCATCATCACAAAAGAAAAAAAAAAAAAAAGAACAGTGTATAAACAATAAAACTTCTCTCTTTGACCTGTCACCACTTTATGACAGCAGATTCCCAACACCAGCATCCATCCAAGCTCCCCACAATTACTGCATCCCCTGGTGTTCTCCAGTCTGGCTTCTGGCCTCTTCCTCTGCCAGTTACTGTTGCTGCCGTGAACACCTGAAGCCCCAGGCTCGGCACCAAAACGGTGGGTTAGCCCTGGCCAGCAGCCAACCTCAGCTGCTTTCTCACTGCCCCTCCTCAGCAGGACAGGGGGAGAAAATAAGTTGAAAAAAATCACACAAGGCAGGGAGTTCACTTACCAATTGCTGTCAGGGGCAAAACAGATTCGAATTGGGGAAAATTAAATTTACTGCCAAATAAAGTCAAAAATTAAAACACGTTCCTTTCCCAGTCCCCCCTTCACTCCCGACTCTCTCCCCCGAGGGGTGCAGGGGTGGGGATGGGGGTTGCAGTGGGTCCCTCACAGCCCCTCTCGTCCGCTTCTCCCTCCTCACACGTCTCCCTGCTCCAGCACGGGCCCTTCCCCGGGCTGCAGCCCCACTGCCACTGCCTGGGCACAGGCACCCCATGCACCCCGTACACTCCAGAGTTGTCCCAAGAAGCTCACTCAGATGCCAGGGAGCATGCTCTACAGTTACTGTCTTTCCAGAGGCCATGTTTGAGCTGTGAGACTATTTTGCCATCTGTGAAAGGTCCCAGCGGCCATGACAATGTGAAGCTGGATGCACCCTCCCTCTGCTGCTGCTCCCTCCTTGGCTTCCTCCTCCTCTGCCTGTGCCGCCTTTTGCCCTTTTCTGAAACCTGTTTTCCCCCAGCACCCCCAGCTTGGCTGAGGGGCTCAGCTGTGTCCTGCGGTGGGGCCGTTGGAGCCGGCTGGGACCGGCTGGAACCCCTCAGAGAGGCAGCACTGCAGCCCCCCATTGCCAGCACTTGGGCATAGACACCCCAATACAATCATGCATATCCCATTTTTTAAATTGAATATAGAATTGGGTAAAATATTGTGGGTTTCAGCTTGTGAAAAACAACATATGTTTTTACTGGGATGCTGTTAGTAACAAATCTTGACTTCAGACCTACAAGGGTACTAATGAATGTTTCTTATTTTATTTGGGATATAAGCTGTAAATGGATGAGCACCAACTTGGGAAACACTGCCTGAAGTGAGCAGTTTGTATTCGGAAAGCACATAGGCATCTATAAGATCAGTTTTGATAAGCCATTTCAATGTAATTCCACATGGATGGATTTTTCTTGGATTTTCTCCAGTGAGAGAGGAGGTGACTCTAATACTACTTAATAGCAGGATTTTATTTCTGGTTGCCACTCTTTTTTTTTTATATGCTTATTTTTCCGGTTTCCCCTGTCCATATCTGGCCCTCCACTTGATGCACATCTCCTGCAGCCCAAAAGGGGGATGTTGCCCCTGTAGCCAGTCAATGTCTGTGTTGGGTTTGTGGCTTCAGTGCAGTGCCACGTGCTCATTCCTTCTCCCTGGGGCTGAGAGTGCGTTGTCCACCTCTTGCAACCCCATCAGCCCAGAGGACAAGGACCCAGTTCTGCTCAGTGCATGACAGTGCATTGCTCTGCTGCTGATGAGAACAAAACCAGTCCTGCCTCATAGAATTTGTCAAAAGAGAATGAAAAAGAAGATGATCAGAAGTAATGGGGTTTTAGTTATGTTGGATCCATGCATGCTGCCTGTTTTTGCAACCAGTCTGGGAACAAACATTGATTTAACTTGGGTTAGAGTCTCTGCTTTTCTCTGTCCATCCCTGTCATTTCCTCTCACCGTTTTCCAGCCATCTTAAATTCCTTTCACCTTTGTCACACTCTGGTTCTTAACTATGTCATACTACTACTCCTCGACTAACTACATAATACCACTTCTATTCACATTCTTCTTATCTCACAAAATGTGTAGAATGGTCTTACTATTAAGATGAAATCAGGATTTTGTTCTGATATTTTATTATGATCCTTGCTTTATATTTTGCACCGATAGGAAGCTGTTCAGCTGATTGAATTTGGGACTTGTAGGAGCAGAATGAGAATCTCATGTTTAAGGAAATTTAATACTGCACTGGGGAGTTAGGTTCTATCTTTGTCTCTCTTAGATCCTTTTTGATAGGTAGCAATTGACTTCTAGCAGTTGCCTCTTCTGGTATTTCTGACTTAAGAAGTTGAGGTCTACATTTGCAGGAGAGAGGTCAGTACTTTGAACATATGGAGTATTGTTGCCCTACAAGTGTTATGAAATCCTTCACTGATGTTTCTGAAGTCCTCAAATATGATACTGCTGTGCTCTGCACACACACCAAAAAAAAACCAAAACAAAACAAAAAAAAAAAAAAAACCAAAAAAAACCCCCACCCAAAACCCAAGAAACTCTAGAGGAAATTAAAATTCCATCTTCAGAATACAGTTTTGAATAGTGTGCAGTTAAGATGTGATGGAGCTACATATTAGAGAGCAAGGAAGATTAATTTCAATAACTGCCTATTAATTGTGCATCAGTTATCTTGATTTAAAAATACAGAGTTAACTTTGCAATTTAATAAAGTTCATCTAATACAGAGGTTTGTGTGTTTGTATCACTTCCTGAACTTTTAAAAACAACAGACTGCAAGAATGTTTCACCAGTAACGTGTGATTCATGAGCAACGTCTAAACGGTTACATCCATTGCCAAATGTAGGAGCGGTGTTGGAATAACTAACAGTAGCAGCATAACTTGGTGTAAACTAGAACACAGGATGCTTTCACAAATAATGATAACTGGTGTAGATGTCAAGTAGAATTTAAGGTTCTTCTGAGTGTTCTTCACACCCCTAGGGAGTCCTGCATAGTAGCGGGTGGGACTCTTCAGCCTGTTTCTCCAAGCGTGATGTCTTTTGCCCAGTTCTATCCCGTGTGAATTCTCTAGTGCCCATTACAGTCTGTCTTTTTTGGGGTACCTACCCCCCAGTCTTTTTATTGACAGGCTGTCACCTTTGTGCCCTTGGTTTCATACTTGTCACTCCACACTACCTCTAAGAACCTTTGCCTTTTGTTTCCTTCCCCAAAAGGTATCATCTACTCTAACCTATCACAATACCTTTATCTCCCGTCTCATGCTTCTTTTATAATCTTGCTGTCCTTCCTTCGCCCTCCAGTTTCAGGTGCTTGCTCTGGTCACCTTGCCGAGTTGCTCTAGGTCATCTTCCAAATCACAGCTCCTTGTTTCCCTACTTTCTTGCATCTTCCTTTTCAACACCCCCCACCAGACATAGCAAAACAGACCTAGGTAGGTGAGCCAAAAAAATTGTGACAAAATACTGTCGTTTGCCTTGTTGAGCATGGCATTTCTCTACTCAGTCACGTAGCACACAAAGGTGAGACTGTAGTTTACTTCCATAATGTATAGAAATTTCAGAAATTTTAACATAGGATAAAAACAAACTACAATTTACATGATTTTGTGTAAACAGTATATGTCACTGTTTTCTAAAAGTGTGGCTACTTCATTTTCTCTCAGGTCACTTTGTCCGTGTTACAAGGGATTTAGAGAGTGATACCCGTTTTAATTGCCCATCTTCTCTCTTTCC